GAGACCAACCGCATTCTCTTCACAGCTCCCGCAGTGAGGAGACGGTGACCCAAGCTCGAAAGGGCCGTGTCGGCTCCACAGGAGCCCACGGACACTTGCTCCACAAGCACTGGCGTGCAGGGCGAGGACCTGCTTCTCCCATCTGCCTAGCACTGACGCTGACTCCGCCTATGTGCACTGAGCATCTCTGTTTCAGGCCCTACAGTCAGACTGTGTGTGTAAATATGTGAACACTTTCTCTAAAGCGGGTCCCGGGACTCATGCGTAAATCTGAAGAGGAACTTGAGTTCCGCAGCAATCAAGGGAGTGGCAGTGTGCTGTCAAGGTGATGCTGACTCACGGAGATCCTATGGAACACATTAGAAGGACCCCACGGGGCTGCCTCGGCTGTAATCCTACCGGGAGAAGACTGCCAGACTTCCTGCAGAGCAACTGGTGAGTGGGGAGGTTTGAAGGGTCAACCTGTCTCTTACTGGCTGAGTGCTTAGCCCTCTGTTTTATGAGAGGGACATCACAATAAAATACCCCACTTCAGTTTGTCTCCTTTGGATGAGGATGTCTGTCTTGCCCCTTTCTATACAGCTCACTGCCAGGAGTCCATGTTGACTCACAGCGACCTCTGTAGCTTCCCGACACTGTAGCTATCTACAGGAGTAGAAAGTCCAGTCTTTCTCCCTCGGAGCTGCTGGTAGTTTCAAACTGCTGACCATGTGGACTGCAGGCCAACACAAAACCACTATACCACCACTAATTCCAACGTGCTATACTGGGCAGTCCACTAAAAGCAAAATCATCCTGGAGGTGGACTGCAGCCCATCAAGTTGTACCAATATTGCCCTCCCCAGCCCAGTGCATCACTAACCACTCCCTTACAGACCCCAGTTCTCTTCCTCCTCCACTCACCTGGCAAAATGTTACCTCAAGTGACATCCCACCCTCGGGACCCCCCAGGCCCACATCCCCAAATGACACATTCCTGGAGGGCATTTGCCACGCTGACTACTTCCCTTAAAACGCTGACCTGGGCCCCAAGCCTCGAGCAGGCACCACATTCCCTGGTGAAAGCACCCCACGCACAGCCACCATCCAGGTGTCTGTGGAGGACCGCGTGTCGCTGGTGTAGAAAGAAAGGCCTGGCAGTCTACTTCTGAAAAATCAGACCTGAAAACCTGGATTACAATATCCCAACCCACAACTGGGCAGGGGGATGGGGATGGCATGGGACTGGGCCATGTTTCAACATCCCATTGTGCACACAGTGACCATGAGACACAGCCAGGCAACGAGCACCAGCTCTATGCCCCAGCGAAGCACATCCCAGTGCTTACAAGCACAGAGGGCTGCCATGTTGTGGCATGTGACAGGCTCCGGGGAGAAGCAGAGGCCCTCCACATCACCGCTGCTTGCCGGGGGTCCAAAGGCACTCACCATGGACGATGTGGAGTCCAGGGCACTCACAACCTTCATCTCGATGCGGTCCTCGCCAAAGCGCCTCAGCAGTTTCATAACCTCACTCACCGTCAGCCACTTACAATCCACATCTTGAATAGAGACAATGTAATCTCCTTCCTTGGCTCCTTCCACCTACAAAAGCCGCATTTAAATAAAGGGCAACAGTTTGTTCATTCACATCCCCAGTCACCCAGTTCCTAGGCCCCCGGCAAAAGAGACATTGGCAAATGCTTGTTTCCAGAAGGCAGACATTAAAAATGTCTTCTCTTTGGGCACATAAAACGGGACTGTGAAACGAACCGGCTTCAGGAACGGCCTCACTCAACCACTCAGGCACAGTCACAGGGGCTTCCAAAAGCTCATGGAAAACTCCACTACCTTTTTCATTAATTGTGAGGTGGGTGAAGGTTTACCGTAGAACATCAGTTTACATCCCACAATGCATACATATTTTGCTTCATTCCATTCATTGCAATCCCCTCAACACATCACCCCATGTCTCACCCCTCTGCTGCCCATGTCCAGGCCTCTGCATGCCTGGCCCTGCCGAACTTGCCTTTGGGTAGGGCTGCCAGGTTCCATACCTATCTATTCCTCTTCCCCACAAACTCTTGGACGCCCCTATCTGGTTGGGCTGCACTCTTGACTCCCTGCAGAGGCCAGCGAGTTTTGACAGGAATCTCAACTGGTGCACACTTACGGCTGCAGAGCAATAGGGATCGAGGAAGTGAACTTGCACTGGGGCATTTCCTCTCAAGGTGAACCCCAAGTCCCCTTCTTCTGTGAGGAAATGGATGCTTCGAGGAGGTGTCCATCTCTTGTTAGCCGAAAACACGGTCAGAGGGCCCTTGGGAACAGAGTATGCATTAGCTGTGAGGTTTTGAAGGATGACTCAACACGTTGCCTGTGGCCTTGAAGATCTCGCCCGATCTTGCCCAGAGTCCCATGACGTGACCCCCTAGGATAATATGGTGCTTCAGCATTCACACAAAAACTGACCGGAGTTAAAAGCTGCCCCTTGAGGTCATGATGAGCTCTGGGGGTTCCAGGGTTGGGTTGCTAACCAGAAAGTGGTGGCTCAAACCTACTAGCTGCTCCATGGGAGGGCGCTGAGGCTGTCTGCTCCCATATAAACTCACAGGCTTGGAAACACTCTAACGCAGCGGTTCTCAACCTGTGGGTCGCAACCCCTTTGAGGGTCAAAGGACCCTCTCACAGGGGTCGCCCAATTCATAACAGAAGCAAAATTACAGTTATGAAGTAGCAACAAAAATAATGCTATGGTTGGGGGGTCACCACCACATGAGGAACTGTATTAAAAGGTCGCGGAATTAGGAAGGTTGAGAACCACTGCTCTAAAGAGTCTCCATGAATCTGATTCAATGGCAGTGGGTTTGGGCTCGGGCAGGGGTGGGCAAACTGCAGCTCTTGAGTCATATACAGCCCTTTCAGTACATACATGTGACTTGGAAGTAAATTTGAAAAGTTTTAAATGACACTATTCAGATCGTGGGGATTTCATTTGTTGGTAAAAATATATTGATGGCTCTTGTATAATTTGTGAATTGTTGTGAGGAACAGACACTTGCCAACCCCTGGGCTAGGCCATTACGAAATCATTGTGGAATGTTTATTTCACGTACCAGCTTCTGGAAGAAGTCTGTCACTGTCACCTTGGAGAACTGGGGCAGAATCGCTTCCACTTCCTGCTCAGTTTTGGCTAGAAGAGAAAATGAGAGGGCACAGCATTCATACTCTGCAAATGAAAGTTATCCTTGAGCTGGGGGCCGCCGTCCTCTCTCGGGAGGGAAGAGAGCGCCAGATTTTCCCTCGCTCCTTGTCCTTCCTCTTGACCCAGACAAAGAGACATGGCGGAAAGGCAGCTGCAGTCGTGGGTGGGTGTGGAGCCTAACAAAGACAGCATGGCTAATGGTGAATCCTCAGGAGGCTTCTCCCGAGAGGCGATGGTAGACATGACCCAGGGGGGTTTTAGGGAAATGTTTGCCGAAGAGTCCTAGAGAGTGCCAGGAGGAATGGCTGGGAAAGAGCAATTAAAACGGGCAGCACAGGGGATGCCAAGGGAGGGCTTGGGCTTGGAGCTGGCCTGGAACCAAGATGGTGGTGTGTCCAGGACACAAGATGCTGCCAAGGGGACAGTGCAGACAAAGACCTCTAATCTCCGTGTTTGGGGTTCAGGAGAGGAAGACTCCAGAGCTAGTGTGGTGCCCAGCTCACTGCCTCTATAGTGCCCATGCCCACCCCCTGCAGGATGAGCAAACCCGGGTCTGCACAGAGCATACTGCCTCCCACGTGGTGTAAGGTGACCAGACGTCCCGCTTTTGGCAGGACAGTTCCGATTTTTAATAATTTGTCCAGCGTCCCGCGGCATTTTTAAAAAGTCCTGATTTTTGGAAAGAATGCACGACAAGCTAGGGTGTATGGTTTTCAGCTGCCATGTGGCTATTTCGCCAGGATATGAGTTTTATCAATGGTGTCCCGCTTTACCAATGTTAAAATCTGGTCACCCTACACATGGGCACACTCAGAACACGCATGGGCGTCCCGGCACCGGGCAGGCCACCCCGTCACTCACAAACAACATCAGGAGCAGCAATCAGGTTGAACAAGTCCTCATCCTCTTGGTGCTGAGAGCACTTGAGCCGTGAACGCTGGTGGGCTGCCGAGAGCACCTCCTGGAGCACCTCGATGTTGCGCAGCTTCATGCACAGGCTGGCCCCCCGCACGGACTCCTCGTGGTGCTCCAGGGCCTGCCGCAGGTGCGACTTTCCTGCCAGGGGACAGGACACCATCACCGCCCACGCAAAGATGACTGAGAACCCCCAATGCCCCCAAGGGTCCAGCCCGGGCGGTGGGCCTTCTCTGTCGGTGAATGTAGTCTGGGCTCACTCGGGTCAGTGAGGCTTTTCACTCATTCACTCAACAAGGATTCGCCCGAGATTCAGGGTGGGAAGAGAAACAGTCAGGGGCAGGCTCCAGCCCCTCCTCTTTCCCTTGGAGCCTGTGGAGTCCTGCTGGGAACAAGACTTCTACACAGGGAAGTATGGGGGGCCCAGGGCCATCTCTGCTAGCTACACACGGGCTGAGAGACAAAACGAACTCTGGTTAGGCAAGACATGCGCTCCTGTGTACAAAGCACAGAGCAGCACAGGGGATGCTGGTGGCAAGCCTAACAGAACCAGAGTAGGCCGGGAGGTAGGGGTACTAACACCCGTGGAAACAGCGGCCCAAACCAGACTCCCTGGCAACTTCCCTGCTAAGGCCATTCAATCTAGAGTCCAAGTGATGCTTCAAACTTATTAAAAAGTAAAGTAATGAAATATAAAATGGTGGGTTTCTTTTCTCAAAGCCCTCTGTTTATGGAATGTGTATGCCAACAGGTGGAAATACATCAGTAACAAGCAACCAGCTGCGTACTGGTTTTGTGGCAGTGAAGGTAACAGAGGAAAATCAAGCTGAGAAGACGACGGGGGATGGGGGTGGTTAATCTCCAGTGGGTGACCAGGTAGCTTTTCTGATCAGGTAGCTTTATGGCACCAGGTGTTCACATACAAAGGGCTGGGTGTGGCCGGAAGGAGGAAGAGCAGGAGAGAAGGACAGGGCATGAGGGCAGAAGGGAGTTGGGCATGTTAGGCCTGGCCTGCCAGGTACAGGGTGAAGACTCTCACACTGTGGGTGAGATAGGAGCCCAGTAGAGTTTGAGCAGAGAGCTGATAGGATATGGCTCTTGGGAACAGACCATGAAGGAGCTGACAGACCAGCTAAGAGGAGAGAGAGATTGTGAAGGGTGACTAGCCTTGAAGCCACAGCACAAGGTGGGCAACTGCAGACCTCCCATTGCCTGTTTCCTTAACTGCTAAACGGACCCAAGAACCATGTGCCTGGCAGGGTTGCGGTGCCTTCCGTTAGCCACTGTTTGTTCAGTGCGTGCGGCTCGTGAGGGTGGTAGGTTAAGAGTGGTGGGGTTTGCGTTGTAAGCCTCAAATGGAGGTGAGACACGGGGGTGACACCAGTGTTTCCGGCCTGAGCTCCTCCAGGATAAAGTTGCCACCACAGGGATGGGAGGGAGAAGGGGAAAGGGATGTAGGAGAGGAAGGTGGCGGGATTCTGGTTTTGCGATGGGAAGTTATCTGCCTTGAGGCATGGCAAAGACGCACTAGGGTAATTCATAACTGCTGGTGAAGCTGTCGGTAAGAAAATAAGCAATGTGTCCTTCCGAGGGCCATTCTGTAGCCCATTAGGGCATTGGGTGCTCATCAAGGCCCTGGCTTTCCAGCGGGATGCCTGGGCCTGGAGGCACCCAGGAAAACACAGCTCTGAAAGCCCTTGGAGGCTAGAGAAGGATGGACCTCCGAGGTGTGGCATCCAGCGTGACCTCAGGGACTCTGGTCAGCTTCAGGGTGCACGAACACTCAGGAGGCTCACTCTGTGGAGAGCCAGCCCTAGCCCAGCTTCCGGGGTTGACACATACCCAGTTGTCTGCGCTGGGGTCCGTTCTTCAGTGTGGCCAAGGGGGTCAGCCCCTCGGGCATGTGGTTGTAGAGCTGGGACAGGCATTTCTCCTGGTGGTCCACATCTGCACCGGGCTTCACTGCAACAAAAGCCGCAGGTGAGGCCCTCACGCGGACATGGCATCACAGACTTCTCTTTCCACACAACCCTGGGCTCCTTTCTTCTGGCTCAAGTGACAGCTTTACTAAGCACTTCAGAAAATGGGTTGCTTCCGCGCAGGACACCCCCCAGGCAATCTAGCCGACAAGCCTCTAGCCCCGGGGACCCCGGGCTCAGGAACAGGTGCACTCTAGTTTTCTGAGTTGTAGAGACCCAAGTCTCTGCACGCTCCCTCCCTTTCTCCCGGGCTTCTGCCTGATGTAACCTTCCAACAAAGACCTTATCCGGTTCCTGCTCTGCTTGGACACCGCCGGTCACCTCCTTCCCAGTAACAGCTCCCCCTTCATCTTCCCGCCCGACCAACGCCCTGTGCTCTGACAGTTTCCTCTGCTCTCAGCTGTCCTTTCCCTCCTTGTTCAAACGGAAAATCCCAGCTCAGGGCTCAACACCCAATTCCAAGATCACCTCGCTGACCGCAAAGCAGAACCCAAGGCTGCCCGGTTTTGTGTGTCTGCAGGGCACCGGGCGTCTGTTTACGTGTCTCATGCCCCTGACTGACGCGGTCACAATACCATGAGTAGCAGTTGACACCCTCAGACAAACACTGGCAGCTGTGGTGGTTCCCATCATCCTCTTCTGTTCATCGCCTTGTTTTCCCGAAGAGGAAACTGAGGCACTGAGGCTAAGGAAGTTGCTCATGATCATACAAACCATCCCACTGTCACAGCAGGTTCTGACTCACGGTCACCCTCTGCAGAGGTTTCCAAGACTATAAATCTTTATGGACGCAGACAGCAAGTGACAAAAGGCAGAGGTGAGATGTGAACTCAGGGAGTCAGGCTCCAGAGTCTGCCCTTTGACTTACTCTGGGGGTGCCCCTCATGAATACTAGACACCACGAATGCCACCCCTCCTCCAGACCTGTGGGCAGGGCGAGCGGCAGGCCAGGGGAGCATTACCTCAGGCTCCGATGGAAGGAGGCGTCCAAAAGCTCAGTCATCGGGCCAGACACACACACTATGCTGGTGTTGTTTTTAAGATATCAAAAAGAATTACCACCATTCCTCGTCACAATGAACAAAATGTCTTTCTACCTCAGGGGGCCCGCATGGCCTCAGCACAGCACTGTGAGTGATTACTGAGCATCAGAATTGTTTGTAAAGCATTAAAATGTTATTTATGTATACAAATTCAGAGTGCCAGTAAAGCAGGTGAGAGGTGACCAGACGGAGAGAGGAGTGGGGAGTGCCTGCTTAAAGGGGACAGGGTTTCTGTCTGGGGGGTGGAGATGTGGCGAGGGTTCTACAGCAAAGACAGACATTATTCTCCATCACAAACAGCCTGAGGCAAGTGCCTCACTTGTCTCACCCTAATGCTGGCCTGTTCTAAAGCCACCAAATCTACTGCCGTCAAGGTGGCCCTATGGCTCAGGGTAGAACTGCCCCTGTGAGTTTCTAAGGCTGTAACTCTTTATAGGAGCAGACAGCTTCACCTGGACTCCTACGAAGTGTTTGGTGGGTCTGAACCACTGACGTTGTGGTTAGTAGTTCAATGCTTAGCCCACAGTTCCACCTTGGGCTGTTCTACATTCCAGATCAGTAGTCACCTCTATATTACATCCTGGAACCCTAGTGGTGCGGTGGACTGTTAACCACAGTCAGCAGTTTGGGAGAGAGACAGATTTTCTACCCTTGTAAAAAGTTAGTCTTAGAAACTCACAGTGGCAGGTCCACCCTGCCCTGCGGGATTGCTATGAGTCAGAATTGGCTCATGACAGGGAGTGAGTGATGCTATAGCCCAGGCAGAATTAATGCTATCCCTCCCCTCTTTTCCCCCTCACTCACCCCATCGAGTCGATACCACCTCAGAGCAGCCCTACAGGACAGGGTTGAACTGCTGCTGTGAGCTACCAAGACTAATCTTTATGGAAGCAGAAAGCCTCATCTTTCTCCTGCAGAGCAGCTGGTGGTTTAGAACTGCTGACCTTGCAGTTAGCCACCCAATGCTTAACATCCCCGCCATAGAACCTTGATTAGCCCTGGTGATGCTGTCAGGTGAGTATTGGTCTCCAGGAGAAAGAAGTGACCGTCTGCTCCCATAGAGATGTACAGCCATGGAGACCCTGTGCAGGGTCACAAAGTCAGAAGGAATCAGTGGCAGTGGCTTTTTGGAAGTCCGAGGCTTTTAAAAAGAAATACATGGCTAGGCACTTCCAAAATACTGGCCGTTGAAAACCCAGTGGACAGTGATGCACAGCTCTGCTGCACATGGGGATGACCCTGGCAGCTGTGCATAAGCCCACCCTCTGCCCACCCTCAGGCCGGGAGCAGCTCCTCCATGGCAGGCCAACAGCTCTCGCTTGGCTCAGAAAGCCCCAACCCCAGTTCTTACACTCATGGTCAATGAGCAAGGTGGCTGCGAAGTAGTGGGCCAGGGCTGTGTAGTGGTTGGCCTTCACGCAGGCCAAACTAGCCCAGGAGTAGGGGACATTCTCCTTCACTGGTTCCTGGCTCATGGCGGTGTGCAGCTGCTGGTAGACCTCCCCCACCTGAAAGAGACAAGAGATGGAATAATGTGGAGGAGCCTGGCCCGGGGTTCAGAGAGCTGCAGGGACTGGAGAGTAAGAGCCCGTTCAGCCCCTGCCAGAGGCTGCCCCAGAGTCTGGGAGCAGCTCCAAGGCACCCTGGGTGCTGTCAGTGCAGAGCGGATGGGGGACTGGCTACTTCATGATGCCAGCTTGTAGACAGAGCTGCAGATGGAATCAGTGATCCATGCTGAAACACCAGCACTGGCCAAGAAAACACAAACCAGCTACTCCAGCTGAGGTGGGCACGCTGCCCAAGTCATGGAGAGAACCTGCCTCGGGAGGCCCCTCTGCCTCTGGTACTCCTGCAACAGGGCAGCCCGCCTAAGGGCCCTTAATAAGACTCCGGAGCCAGGAAGTGCTCACCTTGGCAGCCTCTTGTGCCACCTTCACCAGCATGAAGAATTCGTTCTGGATTCCGGGAAGGCTGATTTTCTCAAACACACATTCTTGGGCCTGGGCGAGCATCATTCTGAGGAGCACGCTGAGCATGGCAGGGCTCATATCGTAACTGGGAGTGTGGGTAAAGGTCTCTTTCAAGTGGCTCAAAACCCCTGAAATTATATATATTGTTTCATACGTTAGTTTAGGACCTATTTATTTCACATACTGCTAAGAAGTATAAATAGGATAGAGGCAAGGAAATCAAACTGGTGTCCCATGAAATTGATGGTGGTGATGATTGTACAACTCTTTTTTTTTTTTTAACATTTTATTAGGGGCTCATACAACTGTTATCCCAATCCATACACACATCAATTGTGTAAAGCGCA